AATGCTTTGTCGAATCGGGCTTTAAAGTTGTGGATGGAGGTGGCTTCCACAACTTCTTCATTTCAGGCAGTTACTCATCCAGGAAGTCAGTTACTCATCTAGAAAGGCAGTTACTCATCTAGAAAGGCAGTTACTCATCTAGAAAGGCAATTACTCATCGAGGAAGGCAGTTACTCATCCAGGAAGGCAGTTATTCACCAAGAAAGGCAGTTACTCGTCGAGGATGGCAGTTACTCACCCAGGAAGGCAGTTACTCACCCAGGAAGGCAGTTACTCACCCAGGAAGGCAGTTACTCGCCAAGAAAGGCAGTTACTCATCTAGAAAGGCAGTTACTCACCCAGGAAGGCAGTTACTCACCCAGGAAGGCAGTTACTCACCCAGGAAGGCAGTTATTCACCCAGGAAGGCAGTTACTCACTCAGAAAGACAGTTACTCACCCAGGAAGGCAGTTACTCATCTAGAAAGGCAGTTACTCACCCAGGAAGGCAATTACTCACTCAGGAAGGCAGTTACTCACCAAGAATGACAGTTACTGACCCAGGAAGGCACTTACTCACCCAGGAAGGCAGCTACTCACTCAGGAAGGCAGTTACTCACCAAGAATGACAGTTACTGACCCAGGAAGGCACTTACTCACCCAGGAAGGCAGCTACTCACCAAGACCGCCAGTTACTCACCAAGACCGCCAGTTACTCACCAAGACCGCCAGTTACTCACCAAGACCGTCAGTTACTCACCAAGACCGCCAGTTACTCACCAAGACCGCCAGTTACTCACCAAGACCGCCAGTTACTCACCAAGACCGCCAGTTACTCACCCAAGACCGTCAGTAACTCACCCAAGACCGCCAGTAACTCACCAAGACCGCCAGTTACTCACCAAGACCGCCAGTTACTCACCCAAGACCGTCAGTAACTCACCAAGACCGCCAGTTACTCACCGAGGAAGGCAGTAACTCACCAAGACCGCCAGTTACTCACCGAGGAAGGCAGTAACTCACCCAAGACCGCCAGTTACTCACCAAGACCGCCAGTTACTCACCAAGACCGCCAGTTACTCACCAAGACCGTCAGTTACTCACCAAGACCGCCAGTAACTCACCCAAGACCGCCAGTAACTCACCCAAGACCGCCAGTAACTCACCCAAGACCGCCAGTAACTCACCAAGACCGCCAGTAACTCACCAAGACCGCCAGTTACTCACCCAAGACCGCCAGTTACTCACCAAGACCGCCAGTTACTCACCAAGAACAACAGTTACTCACCAAGACCGCCAGTTACTCACCAAGACCGTCAGTTACTCACCAAGACCGCCAGTAACTCACCCAAGACCGCCAGTTACTCACCAAGACCGCCAGTTACTCACCGAGGAAAGCAGTATCTCACCAAGACCGCCAGTTACTCACCAAGACCGCCAGTTACTCACCGAGGAAAGCAGTAGGGGAGATGATACCAGTCCTCTTAGCGACCACGATAGCGATGCCAGACTCCAAGTATGGCACTGTGAAGTCTATGACACTCTCTCTCTCCGAGTTGATCTTGAAACTGCTGAGTGCCATGTCGGCCCTGTGGTTGATGAGTGCCGCCACCAGCCCGTTCCACTTGTTGCCCTGTGCCCCGGTGGTAGAGAGGTGGTTAGACGGCTCGTTAGTGGGGTCAAGAGTCGTTAGTGGGGTCAAGAGTTGTTAGTGGCGTCAAGAGTTGTTGGTTAGTAGGGTCAAGAGTCGTTGGTTAGTGGGTCAAGAGTCGTTGGTTAGTGGGTCAAGAGTCGTTGGTTAGTGGGTCAAGAGTCGTTGGTTAGAGCGGCAAGAGTCGTTGGTTAGTGGGTCAAGAGTCGTTGGTTAGAGCGGCAAGAGTCGTTGGTTAGAGGGTCAAGAGTCGTTGGTTAGAGCGGCAAGAGTCGTTGGTTAGAGGGTCAAGAGTCGTTAGTTTGAGGTTACAAGGATCGTCGATTGCAGAGTCAATGTTCACAGATTGCAATCCCGGGTCGTAGATTGCAGGCCAGATCATCGTATTATTGCAAGGGGTCGTAAGTGTTGAAGTGATAGATTATACCCTCAAGAATACCGTCAATTCCCAGAGCGAGGATTTACCAATCATTTACCCACAAAACTTTACGAAACATGTACATCTTTCCACAATCGTGGCGGCTTTGTTTACATATATTAAACAGGTTATGAAATAGACTCGATCTGGTGGATAAGACCACAGACTTACAGTCAATGGTGGATAAGACCACACTTCTTCCCCACTAAATCATACAATTAACCAGGTCCTCCCGGTCCCAACACACAGGGTCCAGTATAGCAGCTCACTACAGCGAACAGGGGATATAAGGAGCCTTATACATACAGTGGGAACTAAGACTCACATTATGAGTAGAATAAGTGCGCCCCATTCCGTTCCGCTTGTCTGACTGCGGACGAGGATAATATTATATAATTATATATAAATATATATATAAATATATATAAATATATATATTTAAATATATATATATAAATATATATATATTTATTTATTTATTATATATATATAAGCAATTCTAGACTACAAGATAGCATACTAGGAGTGGAGGAACTCTAGAAGCACTCAAGCCCTTTCCATATGTTGGCTAAGAACCCAAAATCTAGGTTTTAATCTCTATAAGGAACAGGTAAGAATGTATGGAATAGAATAGCATACTTCTGTTCCTTCTCCAAGAGGTCAGGTATATATATATATACATGCAAGAGGACAGGTATATACATTCTCCAAGCGGAAGGGTGGTGGAGGGAGAGCATGGGAAGGGGGGTAGAGAGTGATGGGAGGGAAGGATAGACAGTGGGAGAGGAGGAAGGACAGGTAATGGGAAAGAGGAAAAACAAAAGCACAACTACATAACCTTTCAAAGCTTCAGAATAGATATGTATACATGGATATGTATAAATACACGTGGGGTATGTAAACATTTATTTAATTATGTATACACACGTGGATCAGTATACGTATGTGTATGTATACACACTGATATGTGTACACATGTATATGAATAGACTCAGCTAAATAGCTAATAGACCCAGCTAAATAGCTAATAAACCACAGCTAAATAGCTAATAGACCCAGCTAAATAGCTAATAGACCCAGCTAAATAGCTAATAGACCCAGCTAAATAGCTAATAGACCCAGGTAAAAGCTAATAGACCCAGCTAAATAGCTAATAGACCCAGCTAAATAGCTAATAGACCAGCTAAATAGCTAATAAACCCCAGCTAAATAGCTAATAAACCACAGCTAAATAGCTAATAGACCCAGCTAAATAGCTAATAGACCCAGCTAAATAGCTAATAGACCCAGCTAAATAGCTAATAGACCCAGCTAAATAGCTAATAAACCCCAGCTAAATAGCTAATAAACCACAGCTAAATAGCTAATAAACCACAGCTAAATAGCTAATAGACCCAGCTAAATAGCTAATAGACCCAGCTAAATTGCTAATAGACCCAGCTAAATAGCTAATAGACCCAGCTAAATAGCTAATAAACCCAGCTAAATAGCTAATAAACCACAGCTAAATAGCTAATTGACCCAGCTAAATAGCTAATAGACCACAGATAGACCACAGCTAAATAGCTAATTGACCCAGCTAAATAGCTAATAGACCCAGCTAAATAGCTAATAGACCCAGCTAAATAGCTAATAAACCCCAGCTAAATAGCTAATAGACCACAGATAGACCACAGCTAAATAGAGTAATAGACCCAGCTAAATAGCTAATAAACCACAGCTAAATAGCTAATTGACCCAGCTAAATAGCTAATAGACCACAGATAGACCACAGCTAAATAGCTAATTGACCCAGCTAAATAGCTAATAGACCCAGCTAAATAGCTAATAGACCCAGCTAAATAGCTAATAAACCCCAGCTAAATAGCTAATAGACCACAGATAGACCACAGCTAAATAGCTAATAGACCCAGCTAAATAGCTAATAAACCACAGCTAAATAGCTAATAGACCCAGCTAAATAGCTAATAGAGCCAGCTAAATAGGTTACAGGCCCAGCTATGCAATGTATGCAATTGAAAATAGTCTTTTAACAGCTGAAACAGAGACCCCCTCTCATAGAACTTTGATTATGCCTTGGGAGAAGTTAGCATAAACTTAGGATAAGTTAGGTTAGACCTTAGGATAAGTTAGGTTAGGCCTTAGGATAAGTTAGGTTAGGCCTAGGTGACTAATGGATCTCCATATCTATATTTTGCACATATAGCATCCGCCCCAATTACATAATCTACATGAACTAGCAATTAGGAGATTAGTTTAGTCAGCCACAAGAAATCTAAGATCAAAAAAACTATCTCTTAGAAAACGGGAAGCGGCGGCATGCTTGCTAGGCATCTTGAACGAAAAAATAAACAAAAAATTCAAAACAGTGTGAATTCAGTCAAGGGAAAAAATGAACAGAAAACGTTAAAAATAGCAATTAACACGAAGAAAAGTAACAGGGGAAACTAAAGAAAACACAGCAATAGTAGTTCAGAAAAAGGAGCATTCAAACCGGACCAGATTAAAGTGGATACAAGTTACAGGCCACAGGCTACAGGTTACAGGCTACAGGCTACAGACTACAGATTACAGGCTACTGATGTTAACTGGAATGTTTATATGAATATATTCAATACAGAAGTTTACTTACAGTTTCCGTTCTCTGTCATTGGAGCGGATTGAGAGAGAGAGAGAGAGAGGGAGAGACATAGAAAGGGAGAGAGAGATGAGAGAGAGATGAGAGAGAGGGACAAAACGAGAGAAACATAGAGAGAGAGAGAGAAAGAGAAAATGATCATATCAAATTAATAAGATTAATTATTGAAAATAATTACTTAATTTTATAACCAAGTTAAAAATATTTATAATTATATAATTTATAAAAATTAATATAATTATATATTAATAGTTACTTAACATCTTATACGTAATAATTAGCATAGAAAATTATTTATAATTGATATTTATTTAAATGAAAAATAATTATTAAAACGAATTTTCTGGGAAATGGGTGGAGGATAGAAGCCGAGGGAAATAGGTAAAGAAAATAGGAAACGGAAATAGGAAGAAAGAGAGAGAGAGAGAGAGAGAGGGGGGGGGGGGGAGACAAAGGTATCAACAGAAAATGGGAATTGAGGCAACAGGAATGACTAACTAATGTAGTTAGGAAAGATATGGATCTCGGAGACGTGAGGGATTATTTAGTGGGAGGAGTACATAGCCAATATGTAGTACTTTACGGTGTACATAGAAAATATGTACTGCTTCCCGGAGGTCACACACACACACACACACACACACACACACCAGCAGGCTCCCCTAAGAAGCAATATATCATCTATAGTTTCAATTTTTTTTAGTTATCCCTTAAGTATCACCGTTTACATATTAATCCTCATTAAGGATAATGAGGATCCTAGGAAGGCGTTTGACCTAACTCCTAGCAACACACAACCCAGGTCTTTGGGAGGCGCTTGGCCTAGCTCCTAGCACGACGCATTTCAGACGTATTAAACTAAAGCCAAAAGCTATCGTACTAGAAAATGGCGAAATTGACGTACTATCCCGTTTTCTGTTTACATTGGAGGCCTCACTGTTTCATATATGTAAACACAGCCTCCGTGCAATAGTGCTGTTGAATCATTGTGCAACAGCAAAACGCAGCGGACTTGGCTCGTTGTTGCAAACCCGTTACCCCGATATTGTGTGATCCACCAGACTGTTCCTGCCGCCACTTGATTCGGGTTCTTGGTAAATATTTTGTGTTCCTGTCTAGAATTAGAGTCTCCTGGGGCACCCCCCAGCCCTAGGCAGTCCTAGTTAGCTCACTCCCAGCCCTAGACAGTCCAAGCTATAGCTCACCCCCAGCCCTAGGCAGTCCTAGTTAGCTCACTCCCAGCCCTAGACAGTCCAAGCTATAGCTCACCCCCAGTCCTAGGCAGTCCTAGTTAGCTCACTCCCAGCCCTAGACAGCCCTAGCTATAGCTCACCCCCAGCCCTAGACAGTCCTAGCTATACCTCACCCCCAGCCCTAGACAGCCCTAGCTATAGCTCACCCCCAGCCCTAGGCAGTCCTAGCTACCTCAGCCCCAGCCCTAGACAGCCCTAGCTATAGCTCACCCCCAGCCCTAGACAGTCCTAGCTATACCTCACCCCCAGCCCTAGACAGTCCTAGCTATACCTCACCCCCAGCCTTAGACAGTCCTAGCTATACCTCACCCCCAGCCCTAGACAGTCCTAGCTATACCTCACCCCCAGCCCTAGAGTCCTAGCTACCTCACCCCCAGCCCTAGACAGTCCTAGCTACCTCACCCCCAGCCCTAGACAGTCCTAGCTATACCTCACCCCCAGCCCTAGACAGTCCTAGCTATACCTCACCCCCAGCCCTAGACAGTCCTAGCTACCTCACCCCAGCCCTAGACAGTCCTAGCTACCTCACCCCCAGCCCTAGACAGTCCTAGCTATACCTCACCCCCAGCCCTAGACAGTCCTAGCTATACCTCACCCCCAGCCCTAGACAGTCCTAGCTATACCTCACCCCCAGCCCTAGACAGTCCTAGCTATACCTCACCCCCAGCCCTAGAGAGTCCTAACTAGCTCACCCCCAGCCCTAGACAGTCCTAGCTAGCTCACCCCCAGCCCTAGACAGTCTAGTGCTAGGGGGGAGCTAGGTCGAGGGGTAACTATTAATAACCCACCCTGAATGACTGCTTTCAGCCCAATTAGCAGCGAACTGCCAATTAATACCCAGAGCTGTGAGTCATCTTCCCTGTCAACAGTGCCGGGTCAAGGGCCGCCTCCCAGGGCTTGCTGGAAGTCAAGAGGAAGGCAACGGTGAAGTCAAGGGAGGGACCAACAGTGATTGTGGAAGTCAAGGGAGGTACCAACAGTGATTGTGGAAGTCAAGGGAGGTACCAACAGTGACTGTTGAAGTCAAGGGAGGTACCAACAGTGATTGTGGAAGTCAAGGGAGGTGCCAACAGTGACTGTTGAAGTCAAGGGAGGTACCAACAGTGATTGTGGAAGTCAAGGGAGGTACCAACAGTGACTGTTGAAGTCAAGGGAGGTACCAACAGTGATTGTGGAAGTCAAGGGAGGTACCAACAGTGATTGTTGAAGTCAAGGGAGGTACCAACAGTGATTGTGGAAGTCAAGGGAGGTACCAACAGTGACTGTTGAAGTCAAGGGAGGTACCAACAGTGATTGTTGAAGTCAAGGGAGGTACCAACAGTGATTGTTGAAGTCAAGGGAGGTACCAACAGTGATTGTGGAAGTCAAGGGAGGTACCAACAGTGACTGTTGAAGTCAAGGGAGGTACCAACAGTGATTGTTGAAGTCAAGGGAGGTACCAACAGTGATTGTTGAAGTCAAGGGAGGTACCAACAGTGA